TGGGAAAGCCGTGCCTTATCAGCCGCGGCGCCGCGCTGCTCCCAGACCGTGCGGGCGCACCGAGTGGGGGGCGTGGCGTTGAAGCTAATCACGTGACGTGACGTCTATTCGCGTAAGTCCGCAAGTGCAGTCCGCGTGAGTTAAAAAACAAAAACTGAAAAATGTCGAAAAAAAAAAAAACTCTTGGAAAAAACGAGCAATAATGTAAGAGCAATCGCTAAAAAAGAAGGCGGTACCAAAAAGTGCGTAGAGTAACTGCATACGACACTGTTTTATTCATTGTGCTCTGCAGACGGCCGAGCCCCCGGACAGCAGAAGGGGGCACAAGTCAGCATGGAGCGTTTCACCGTGGTGACGAAATCTCAATGGCAGACCGGTTTTTCTGCCAATTTTCCCCCTACTCCGTCCCTTTTTAAAAGTAAAAAAGCAGGTCAAATGAGCAGCACACAATTTTTGGCACCTAGCCGTCGTCGTTGACGGGGACGGGTCTGCACCGCTGCGCTCTTGGCAAGCCCGCGCGTTTAAATCTCTGCATAGTGGCAGCGGGGTCACAGCTCCTGTGAGTGCGAGAGAGATGGTGGGGGCTATTGTATCATCTTCTCTCTCTATATTTCTCTCGTGTCGCAGTGTAACGCGGTATTGTCCTTCTGTCGGGCCGAGTAGAGCACACGCCTTGGTGTACTGCGGGGCGAGGTGGGGCGCCCTGACCATGGAAACATACTGTGCGTCCCATTGTGGTTGAATGCCTGGTGTTCCATCGTGCGGTTTCCACCAGCCAATCCTTCTTCTTCCCCCTACTCTCCGCTCAGCCTCCAGTCCTCTGCAGCCGCCCGGTGCCCGGTCCCACTGGAGAGAACTTTCCTCCGGGAGCACACAAATAACAAACCCGGCCGGCTCGGTCCCGTTGCGGGGCGCGGCCCCGCCAAACATATACGCGACGCCGTCCGGAGGATCCCTGACCAGTTCAAATAAGCTCGCAAACCACCGTCAGCGTGCGTCGGCCGCACGTCGGATGCCTGTCGGATCGCTGTCGGATACCACTGGTAGCGTAAGCTGGCATGTCGGGTGCTTGGTCGAATTTTTGGCGTATGCTGGCCGGATGCCGGTATGGTTTGCTGGTCGAATGCCGATATGGTATGCTGCTCGGATGCCGGTATGGTATGCCGGTCGGGCGCGTGTATGGCATGATGGTCGGATGCCGATATGGTATGCCGGTCGGATGCCGGTGAACCTGCCGCCACAGCAGCGCGACGCCGCCCGCCCGACGCCCCATAGCATCGGCGTCCCAAGGATGCGTCGCTTTCACTGGGCGGCAGGTGGCCCTGTGTCATGTCGTTACATCAGGAGGCCCTTCCTCCTTCTGGTCCTGCGGCTCCAGCAGCACCGCCTCGCGCCCTCCGGGGTCGCTCTAACGCGCTCCGGCAGCACGACAAGCTACCTGCTGGGCACGTCGTTAAAGCGGCCCTCTACAGGATATATACACTGATTACAACCTGCTTTGCGAGGGATTTGTTGGCATTGCAAAAGCCTGCGAAGGAATTTCTCTGCAGACTGCGAAGGGTTTTTCTTTTTCGCAATTATCAAGGCGGCCGCAATCCCTCTCAAGGATTTATCAGTGCACAATTTACAATTCGCCGCGTAAACTTGAGCCGCATTCCTAGCAGGCTCCAGTCGCTCCGCAGCCGCTCCAGTCGCTCCAGCAGCCTCTCCTCCAGTTCCTGATGCTCCCGCCGTCCTCAACCCTGATTGCACTGATTGCATGCAACTCGAGCAACACGTGCCGTGACCCGACCTCGTTTGCGAGGAGAGAAGGGGAGCGGGGCGCGTCATCGCCGCCGTCCGCATTATTGCTCCAAAGTTACACGAAAAGTCTCGATACTCGCGGCAAATATTTTTGCGAGACACGTCGTCGTCGTCGTCTCGTAAAATTGGCGGTTGGACACAATTTTTCCCTCACTGGTTTCCATTTTTTTTCTGTAGTGTTAAATTTACAGCGTGGGGTACGACGGAATAGACCATTCCGGTAAGCCGCGATTGAAGAGAAAAAAGAGGGAAAGGTTTCTTTAGCGGTTTATAGGGTCGTTTTGTTAATGATTTGCTGTTTAAAAAATATCACATGTGCTCTAAAAAATGATTGTGTGCATGTACGAGTTGTAAAATGCTGTCCCAAAAAGGCCCATAGGCGGACAAATAAACATTTGCTTCTTCTTTCTCTTCTTCTATCTCGGCTAACCGGAATGGTCTATTTTCTTCTCCTATATCGACAACTGAATTTTTTTTTCAATGTGATTCCCCCATATGAACAGGAGCGACGCAAAAGGCCTCCACGGGTAGAGCAGTCTCATCCCATGGGATTCCATCGAACGCAAACTTTAAAGAAAAGTCCACATAAGGTGGCGACCCCGGCAGGGGATCCCCTCTATAAGGCCTGAGGGGAGGGG